AAAAAAAAAAAAAAAAACTTTAATTATTTTATTTTAAATATTATTCTAATTTATTACTTAAACTAGTAAATATATATCCTGTGCAAATGCACAAATGTACATAAAATATTATAAGTAATATTTGAGAATTTAATATTAAAATTTTAGATAATGAACATGTTATATTTTTAAAATTTAATCATTAGAAAAAATAAATTAATGATTATTTATTATTATGAACAATTATTTATTATCATTAGAAAATAGCAGTTTGATTATTATTATTATTATTATTATTACAAAAACAATTACTTATAAGATTCTAAAGTTGTTTGACTATGCTATTAAAACAATTTACTAATTTTTTTTAAATAAATTTTTTATGAGGTACAAAAGAAAAAGATAATATTGATGCTAAAATAAATAACTTGAAACAATTGTTTATGATTATGCAATTTATATTTATTGTGAATTATTATTAGTTGATATTAGCATTAATTATATATAATATAATAAAAAAATACATGATTACACTCAATAGGATTAAGTGAGAAGTAAAAAACATTAATGATAGATTTTGTAACCGAATATGGAAGGAAAATTTTAGAGGTTTTATTAAATAGGTTTTCTTAAATGCTAGTATTAGCTAGTAATTATATGTATAGATTCCCACTAACAACTACCATCTTTCTTAAAATTAACTATAGTTAACAAAAGAAACCAATCAAATATATATCCAGTCACACTCTTAACGTGTCGGACTTGACTCGTTTCGTTAAGGATCGAAAATAAAATTTTTATGATTTGACTTGTTATAGTTTGATTTCGGTTCGTTAAGCTTCGAGCTCGATTCATTGATATGATAAGCTGACCGAAACTTGATTAATGGACTCGTTTAGTAATGATTTGACTGTAGGCATAGAAAATTGTATAGAAAATTTATTTTCTTTTTAAAATACTATTAGGGAATTGAAAGAGGAAAAAAAATGGATGATATACTCAATTCCACCTAAGTTTATTATTTTTCTTTAATATAGTGCTTGTAATTTACTTTACGCTGCCAATGGTTCTTTCTAGGTTAGGTAAATTTTCCGATTCTAGAAGTTGGAACAATTCAAGATTCCCACGTTTGCTTTGGAGAATTTCTCAAGCTACATGTAACATATAGGAAGCTTTATATAACTATTTTATTTATGTTAAGGAAAATAATACAATTAAAATATGCAATAAATCCAATAGCTTGTCCATCCATTTCGATTTTAGGTTGAAATTCGAATCAAATGTACATTTTATGCTCATGAATCTTTTGAACAATTCCTCAAACCTATCACCAAATCACACAGAAAAAAACAAAGTCACCAATCATTTTCACACAAATCCAACACAACACTCGACTTACTTCTCCCTTGACTCTCTTTACAAATTGATCTTGACCAGGCAAGGATGATACATTTACATTGTATATATTTATATAAATAGGAATATAAATTTATTGTTTAGTTGTAAGCAAAATATGTACCATTCAGTCCTACAAAAATAGAACTGAAAAATAAAATCATATAGACAATCAAATATATAAAAAGTATAGTAGAATTCATATAATAAAACGAAGAACAAAAATCAATACTCATTTTTTTTCTTACTTTTAGAGTGAAATGTATTATACAATGTACCAGTGTTTTGAGATCTAAACCGGCTCGACCTGTTTGGGTGGGTTGTTTGGGCCGAGTTGCAAGGGACCCAGTCAAACTGGGTATTGGACCCGCCTGGGTCAACTCGGTTTGACTCGGTCAATAAATATTTTTATTATTATTTTTGTTTTACTTTTTTATTTTTAAAAATAAAATTATATATATATATATATATATATATATGTTAATGTGATAAATCTATACTTATATTATAAGGGATGGTATTTACGAAATATAGCAAGTTGAAAAGTCAACCTTAATTAATGATTTGCTATTTTTATCAATCATTTAATTAATGCATCTAATATTTTTGGTATGCAAATCAAATTAGCATTTAATTAATTTCTAAAATATTGGATATGCAATATTAGTTTAGGAATATCCATGTAGTTCCTAAAATGTTGGTATGCAATACGTAAAAGAAGATTTTTTAATTTTTTTAAATATAAAATATTACAACACGTAAAACTATTCCAGTTATTTTTTTATTTTATTTTAGATATAAAATTTAATCAATATTTAATGTACCCTACAAACTTAGATTTAGTTTAATTCTCCATACAATTGGTTGTAACTTTTTCAGTTGTACATTTATTTATTTATTTATTTTACACTTTTAAATTAATGAAGCTCTCCGAACATTATTAGGTAGTTTCAAACATTATTTGTGAATAATATAAAATATTTTAGATGCTTTTATAGATGTTATAAAATATTTTAAGTTTTTTTAATATTTATATATCACACTTAAAAAGAATATTTTGCCAAAAAAAAAAAACATTAAATACACATTGTAAATGTTAATAAAAACAGTCTTCAGTATTCATCTTTGATTTTGTCAATACAAATCTCATAAAATCGGTGAAGTCAAAATTTGTACGTAAAGTCTATCTATACTAAAAAAATGTAGATTCAAAATTCTTTATCTAATTTCTTCTTTTCCTTATGTAATTCCTTCTTATTATCTAATTGTATAGAAATCTGTTCTGATTTTGTTCAATCCTCTAGTTGTATTTGTATCATATCCCATAAAATCGGTTTAACAAAAAAAATCCCATAACATCCGATAAGTAAAAAAAAGTACGTAAAATCTTTACTAACATAAAAAAGGCTTTATTTATTATCTAATTTATTATCTAAATGTATGGAAATCTGTTCTGATTTTATAGTACGTACTACAAATTGTGCACCCGTGTTCAGGAGCTACTTAACGGGCAAGCTATGTGGAAATAACTCATTTAGTGCTTCTGTCCCGTGCATACGGTATGTATTTGTATTACACATACTAGAAAATTGTGCACCCCGTGCATCGCACGGTCTCTGTACTAATAAATGACCTTAAAATTGTGCACCCCGTGCATCACTTGTGTTCACATTTTGGCCTATTACAGGTCACGTACTATATATATCCCGTACATTTTTTTTTTATTCATTTATATAATTATAAGACTTGATAAATAGTCTTAATTTTGTGCATCCCGTGCATCGCACGGGATCTGTACTAGTATTTATAATAAAGAAGACAACATTATTAAGAGTTTATAATATAAAAGTTACATTTAAATATAATTTAATATCTATTATAAGATAAAAATAGTATAAATACAACTTAGTATATTAATAATTAATTAATTACTTAGTTCAACAATTGATCCGATGACCCGACGGTTGAATTCGTAACCCGGGTGATTCAGAATCCAGCCTGGGTTAATCATTAGTCCACGTTTTGTAATGTGCCTTGAAAATATGGCATTTATGTCACCCTTACGAAAATGGCCATAGTTAATGGCAACAATATAGTTAATGCACATAGTTACACACAATGCAGGCGTGTGTGAATCCTATGACTAAAATCAAAGTGAAATCATCCCACAATTTTATCTATCCAAACCCAAATTCATGTCTTAGAAATCGAAAAGCAAAGGTGCCCTAGATAGCAAGCAAAGGTGTCGTGGCCACATGGGGCCGGGCCAATGTTCGGGCCCTCAGGCACGCCTAGCTAGATATATCCTTTCCCGAACGACATTTGTTGTAAGTTGGTTGCATCTGACAAATCGTGTTTTTCAACGTATCTACTTTCGGATTTTGATTGGGAGGGTGTGTATGTATGTATGTAAGAAAAATCGATTCATTTCATGACTTAGCTTAAGGCTTAAATAGATATAAATTTAATTCAACCTAACTATCGTCAATATTATTAATGTAACCGATTAATACCAATGTAAATAATTGTTACACATTACATCAATTATAATTCACTATTCATTCACTCACGTAATCTTAACAACTCATCACTTCCAATTATCCAACTCTCTTATACTTTTATATCACATCAACTTTAATCATTACATTTTAAATATTATCTAAATACAAACTCAAAGTTCTATTCAATCAACTTTTTTGCAAACTCAAAATTCTATTCAAATACAACTGGTATTTAAATACAACCCAAAAATTGATTGAGTTT